TAGGACCCAAGAATAGTGATGGTTGTTGCCTTTAATGTCACTTATCAATGCCAAAATTAAAGGCAAATCTAAGTTGAAGTTCACGTAAAAATGATTAAATGTTTATGCATATCTAAAGTTATTCGAGGTGGGTAATCCTGTAAATGTTCACACACTACGAGTATCACTTAAATGGTGCTTCTGAAATCGAGTGTTTGTTCAATCAGACATCTAAATCACAATTAATAGGTTTACGAAGACTTAATACCTTTTGCCCATACCCATACCCATACCCATACCCTATATGTGAACGAGTTATTATGGTATATTAACTTGAGATTGTTGCAAAAACTCACAAACTTCAAATTTTGAATACTTTGATTGGTTGGTATAATGTCCTTTCATGTTATTCCATTAAGATATCCTGCCAAAATTTGTTTCATCGTTTGGTCAAGGAAGAGGCCTTTTTTTCCTTTGTTTTCTTCATTTTCTATCAAACTCCATTTGGTTTTGAATGAACAATGGAAACAAAGTCACTATCATATTACGTGAAGATAGTAACTCAACAATATCAATGGACCCTCCACATATAAGCTGAAAAGGAATATATACGAATTCGTGATTACTTTTTTTTTGTTTCCATCCAATGTTCTGTATTTGTATTGGAGTCTGAACTAGTTCAAATTTGCATCACCTATTAAAAAGAAACGGTCCCTATTAGGATTTTTTCCATACCCAAGGCTTGAACGCGATACCTCAGGTCCCATCACAACACTTGAGTAGTATGTGTCCAATTACTAATTCCATTTTATTTTTTTTGTGAATGCAGATGAAACATCATGCAACCCTTCAAAGTACCTATCAGGCAAATGTGGAGGAACCACAAGAGTTGGTGTACTTGTTGGAGGTAATTCTACGTTGATTTAAGTTATATACGCTGACAGTGCAGAGTCTCAACATCTAGTACTAGTTGAAATGAAATTGTTTTCGTATTCCTTTCTTATTTCAATTTCGCTATACAACACATTAATCTAAAGTGATCAAAACTATATATATTTCTCCAGGTATTGTAGCAGGTGCTTCGTTAATGGTTAGTATAGGCCTAATATGCTGCTTTATTCGACGAAGATTGAATTTCCAAAACAGAACAAGAAGAAGCCGCGAGTTATGTGAGACTACAGGGATCAGCATCCCTGTTTATCAGTACAAAGAAATGGAAAAGGCAACCGATTTCTTCTCTGAGAAACGGAGACTAGGAAATGGCGCGTATGGAACAGTTTATTCTGGAAAACTTCAAAATGACAATTGGGTAGCTATCAAAAGAATTAGACACAGAGATACTGATAGCATTGAACAATTCATCAATGAGATCAAGCTCCTTTCCTCTGTCAATCATCCGAACCTCATTCGTCTCTTGGGCTGCTCAATCGAAAATGGTGAACAGATTCTTGTTTATGAGTACATGCCTAATGGAACTTTGTCACAACATATACAAAGAGAAAAAGGGAACGGGCTTCCATGGCCCGTTCGTCTTACAATTGGTGCAGAAACTGCACAAGCTATAGCTTATCTGCATAATGCAACGCACCCTCCAATATATCATAGAGATGTTAAGTCAAGTAACATACTCTTGGATTACAATTACAAGGCAAAAGTAGCAGATTTTGGACTTTCAAGACTCGGTATGGTTGAATCATCTCACATTTCTACTGCACCACAAGGAACTCCAGGATATCTTGATCCTCAGTATCATCAGAACTTTCAGTTGTCTGATAAGAGCGACGTTTATAGTTTTGGTGTTGTTCTTGCTGAGATCATCACAGGACTAAAAGCAGTAGACTTTGCTCGTCCTCAAGACGAAATAAACTTGGCTGCACTTGCTATTGACAGGATAGGAAAGGGAAACTTAGATGAAATCATCGATCCATTTATCGAGCTACATATGGATGCTTGGACACTTTCATCTATTCACAAGGTAGCAGAGTTGGCATTCAGGTGTCTGGCATTTCATCGCGATATGAGGCCATCGATGATGGAAGTAGCGATTGAATTGGAACAACTTAGGCTAAGTAGATGGACGAATTCGGAAGATAACATAACAGGTTCATCAGAGGGATCTTCAATTTCATCAACTTCAGATGCAAGTGAAAAACCATTGAATCTTTCAATTAAGAAGCAAGAAATGGATATATTTTCGACAGAGAGTAAAATAAAGGATTATTCCCCTGTATCAGTACAAGATCCATGGAGTAGTGAGCAAAGCTCTCCATCTTGTAGTAGTTTGCTTAATCATATAGTTAAGTGATTATGTAAAGGATTAAATTTCTTCATTGTAATTTACTTACAAGAACATTTAAAAATGTAGTATCCTAGCAAAATATTACTACTAGCAAGAACTACTACACATGCCAAATTTGGTCTGTACTTCTAAATGTTCTTTTTATTTCTATTTGTTTTATATCAATTAGTAATTCATCAGTCTCAATTTATGTGAAGCTGTTTGTTTGGACGCGGGGTTTAGAATGACAAGTTTAAAGTTATTGTTATGAAGTTTAAAAAAATGAAAAGTACCATTCACCGGACACTTTTTGGTTCGTAATTAAAAAATAGTACAGTGAAGTTTTTCTAAATTCTCTAGTGAAATGCCATAACCGCGCTTTAAAATCCAGCTCTCAGATTATACGAATGCACCAGTCAGCTAATACTGAAATATAGTTGGGCTTTCACTTGTTTTATTTCTAGGCCCATGTTGAAGCATTGAAATGTACTATTTCTTTTTTAAGGAAAAACTATAGAATATGGCAAACATCAATATATATTTAAAACAAATAGCTATAGTTTATTATTTTTATGTTATATGGATATAACTATACAATAAATAGCAAAGTTAATTATATACAAATAATCAGGAAAGTTATTAAATATTAAATAGGAAAATTATTATCACAAGGATAATTAATTATGTCTAGGCACATTTTATGTGGTCAGTTTTTCAATTTTATCCTCATTAATACTTTCTCTTTCATCAATATTCCTATATCACATATTCTCAATATTTTCCTCCCATATTCCTTCTAATTTAAGATCTTTTTGATGATTCTAGGAGCAATTTTTGTGATTTGAATTCATCGAGTATCTTTTAATTGATTTTTTTTTCTCTTTTTTATGAAGATTGAATTGGTATCCATCTATATTTTCATCTATTTTTATAGGGGTTCAATTGAAGAATTATTTTATTTTCTCCATTGCAATGATTATAGTTATAAAAAAAAAAGTAGTAAAGGAATAACATGAGCAAAAAGAGATTGAGGTTTGTGTGATTGTGATTTGAATTTTCATCAAGTATCTTTTAATTGATTTTTTCTCTTTTTTTTTATGAAGATTATATTTGTATCCATCTATATTTTCATCTATTTTTATATATAAGGGTTCGATTGAAGAATTGTTTTGCTTTCTCCATTACAATGGTTATAGTTATACAAAAAAAAATAGTAAAGGAAGAACACGAGCAAAAAGAGATTGGGATTTGTGTGATTGTCAAATTTGTATATAGTAGAATACTTATATACATAGATACTTGTATTGTAATATTAACACAAGTTGAAATGGTGATTTGTACATACAAGTATATCTGGATACATAAGTAATCTATCCAATTTAAAAGATTGATTAGGCAATACAAGTATAATTGAATACATTAATTCTATATTTTTTATAAACAAATACATGAGTTAACACCAAATCTCAAGTATTACAGAAAAAACTTGACCAAAAAGAGATTGACGTTTGTTGGATTTATCAATTTTTTTATACAAGCGAATACTTACACACTTTGATACCTACACATTTTATTATTTTCCATTTTTCTTGTTTCTATGTTGTCCACGTATCCATCTTTTATTCAACAACAATGTATTCATATATATATATATATATATACTATATTGTATTCATTTTTTTAATAACAAAAATGTATTCGTTTTTCAAATTGTCATACTTTACCTTGTTTGATATATTAATACATTAAGTTTTTATAAATACTTGTATCCTTGATATATTAATACTTTAAGTCTTATAAATAGAGATATCAATTTGAATTCAAAGTATTCATATGCTACACAATTAATATATGTTCCTTATTTAGTTCATTGTAATTAAAACTGTATTAGTGTATAAATAGAAAAATAAAAATATATAAAGAAATACAGCTAGAAAAAGATATAAATTGTAGTCATTTTTTATAAATAACATACTTATAGCTATTGAACTTCAATAACCCTATAAATATAGTCATTTTTGTAAGTTGCTCATATATATATTCATTTTCATGGTGAAGGAAGAAAGAGTGAGAAATTATGTTGATTTTGTGTCATACGGTAAGTTCATAACATATATTGCTCGTTAAGTTCATAACACATATTGTTCGTTTTGAATTTAGGCATGCATGAATTTGTCTTTCAGGCTACACCGCAACAAGTTTCAAAAAGTTGCGCAACATATGCAAATGTGAGTAAGTGGGAGTCTTCATGAGGTCGAGTTTCATGGAAGTTGCTCCGTAGGATTTTTTCAATAAATTATTTTTTTATGCTCTTAAGTTCTCGTGCTCCATCTTTTGTTATTCTAAAAATTATATTACTAACATCAAGTTTTGCCCTATGATTTGTCGGGCATCAACGGACCTCATACTCATTCTATTCTTTCAAGGCGGAGCTAGATGTTTGGGTGTATGTTCAGTCAAAATTCAATAACTTTTATTTAAATAATGTATTTGTATTAAAAAGTTTATTAAACGTGGAGAAATATAAAGTTTAGAGCCCACTTTATTAATATTTGAAATCATCATTATAAAATTTAAAATTCATAAAGTTAGAAATTTTTGGTTCGCCTCAGTATTTTTTTGTTTTATTATTGTTTCTTCTATGTTATACACATTGCTTAACCACATTACAATACAAAAATCATATATTTTGATCATCTTAATACGTTGTTCTTAAATCACGTTTATAAATTTAATTATGTCATTTCGAGGGTGAATTAACTATTGTATTTATTGAGAACAACATATTACATTGATCATTGAAAAGAGTAAAAATAGTTGCACATTCCATTTTCCAACAAAAAATAATTACTATACTAAACTATACACATCACCGGCCTCTTCCTCAATCCCCGCCTCCGGCCGGCATGCTCTGTTCTGTAAATTCTTATTTCTTAATAACAATGAAATATAATACACTAAACAAGTTTACTAATTACTTAATTAAGCCAGTGTTAATCAAAAACTAGCTCTTCTCAGAGAAGTTAGGGTAATTGCAGCTCCTAATGGAGATGCACCGACCTCAATCTCAAACGAATCATATCGAAGGAACAATTCGACCAACAACAATCTTGAAACCAGTACGACGAAGTCTTTTCCGGCACACTGTTTGTTATTTATCGATGGGTTCTCTGTTTCCGATCCATTTGACCATAACACGTGTTTCAACAGCTTCTCCCCTTCTTCTCCGATGAACCGATCGGCGACGAACTCTTCCGATCGGTCGAAGATTTTTGGGTCTTTGGTTGCAAATGGTTGAAATCCATAAAGGAGTTCACCTTCTTTGATCTCGAATGATGCGTCGTGGGATTCGATTACCATGTCGTGTTTTGCTCTGCCGTATTGTGATGCTACTGGGGGTTCAATTCGGAGGGATTCGTAGACTACTGATTTCATTAATGGCATTTTTTCCATGGCCGCCATTGTGACCTTCCCACTGTTTGATGAAATGACTGAACGAATTTCTTGAGCTAATTGGCTGTGGAGTTTAGCCCCTGCTCTGCCTATCCATTTCAACATATTGGGGAAAAAGATTTTGATTCCACCGAATGAATTGAAACATGTTGCGAATAGCAAATTGTGACAAGCTTCTTCGCGAGAAATGCCAATTTTTTCTGCTTCATCAAGAACGGAAGTTGAGTTTTCATAGAAGAAATTGTACAATCTCTGGTAGTCTTTTTTCACCAAGGCAGGGGGAAGTCTGAAAGTATGCATAACAAGGTCTTCAAGAACCTTCGGGAGGCCGAGAATTAGCAAAGGATGAAGCTGGAACAGCACCCATTTGCCGATCAACTTAGGTCCATCGGTTCCAAGTTTGGTGTCTTGAGGATTAATGCCATATAAGGATCTAGCCAGGAAGTTAAATGCAGCTTGATCATTAGCTGCATTGAGTCCGGCTTTCCCTTTCGTGGAGAGTTCGTTTTCCAGAGTTTCAAATAGCTCGGAGTAGCTATTGTGAAACTCTGGAATAACTTCATTGCGCCGTGATGAAAGGAGATAAAACATGAGTTTCTTCAATTTGGCATGGTTTGGTTCGGAAGGATCAAGATAGGAGAGAACACGATAACCGCCTGTGAGATCAGTGGAGGGCATGAAAGTACCGGTGAAAAGATCCTTTTTTTCAACCTTAGAAACATCAAAAAGGATGGGAAAACTTTTACCATCCAGCAAAACAACAACGTTTGGATTGAATGAAATGAATGGACCTGGTGGCATGTTCGTTCGAAAAACAGTAGACTGATGCTTCTGAATTCTTGATTTGAAAAACTCATTTTTGCCCTGATTGTAAAAGTAATCAAGTCTGTCTTTCCATGGACCAACTAATGGCAGTCCATAATCTCCAGGGACTTTTCGGGTTGGGAGTTTTGCTTGTTTAACAGGTGGCGATGTCGATGGTGATGAAATGTATGGCGGTCTCTCAGACACCGAAGCCTGAATGGGACGAATACTAACACGATGAGACGATGAATTTTTACGAGAAGATGATTTATGTGAGGGGAATTGTAGCTTAAGAGAAGGAAGAGCAAGAGAAGTTGATGCCATTTCTGTTAGAAATCAAGAATTGAACTCGTTGACTTTTCTTCAACAAGAGAAGGGGAGTTCAATATAGTTGAATGAGAATGAGAAATCTCTGTGGGTATTCTTGCCTATAAATAAACAAATGTGTGATGTCAAAAGTAAGGTGATGACATTTGAGGTCTCAATCAATTAGCGGAGCCAGGTAGGCCCGAGTGAATTCGAACCCTCTACAACAAAAAAAAACTATATTATTTATATTTGGTTAAAATTATTATTTTTATGTATCTATAATAAATGTTGATCCTTCATTATGTGTTTACTTCTTCATATTCTAAACACTCATAGAAAAAATCCTGAGTCCGCCTCGAGTCTTAATCATGAGATATTAATGATATATTATGGTTTGTGGGGTGGGCTTGATGGCACAAAAATATAGTAATACGCATAACAAAGGCGTGCGACAAATTATATATAAAAAAAAAACGGCACTTTCTTATTGGTTTCTGTGGTGCTTTTATTATTGATCTGGCTCGTGTTTTATTTGTTTTTGGGATCTAAGTAGAAATAATTTATTTATTTTTTCATGCCACCGTCTTTGATTCCTTTTGTTCCTCATTAATTTCTTAAAATTACTAAATTAATAATTGTACACAGATTGCTTTTCTCGTGTTGGCTTGTTTTTCGTTTTCCGTCCACTTTGACATGTGGTTTCTGTCAAATTTGCTTTTTTAGAATTTTAATTTTTTGGTTGTTGTTGCTAGTTTCTAGTCAAGCATGCAATGTGATACTTCCTTCGAGCTTCATTTATTTTTACTTATCTAGTATTTATTTGATACATGTCTTAAGGAAAAGTAAGTAAAATGATGATTTTACACTTATTGAATATAATAAATTTAATATTTTAAAAAATATATTGAGAAATGATTATAGTTAACAAAAAAGAGTAAATTAGTAATTAAGTAATATATTTATTTTTTAATTTTTCAAACTAAATAGGTAAAAATGGATGTTTATTTTTAATATATAGTGAACTAGTAAAGTTTGAAATTGATTTCAACAAGGATAAACACTGAAAAGAAAATTCTAGATTAAATATTTCATATTGTCATATCATGATCCAGTTTCCATACTTTGACCTTGACAAACCAAAAAAAAAGAGATTAGGCACTTGATCCAAATTCACTTATAATATAAACTTTAATGTTTCAATATTCGTTTATGAATTTTTTTATACTTTCCACGATGTGGGAGAGTGATGCGTTAAACACGAATATTAAGGTCAAATCGAATAGTCTATATAGAATAATACTAACATTTTATATTAAGTTTTCAAAATTAGACCAGTTGATGACATTATTCTTTTAAATTAGTCAATATGTTTATTCAACAACAACAAAAATACTTTTATACATTTGAAGAACATTTCCCTCTCTTTTCATTTATGTTCATATTCAGTTTGTTAGTAACTATACTATAGTTATATAATATATAATATCTTATTATATTCTATAACCTGTAGTTACCTAATTGAAAGCTTTACATTAAACAATAATAAGAATAATAAATTAAATAGTCAACGAATGGTCTTATTTCCCGTATTTTGAATAAATTTATATAAACGTTTGGTACGTAAATAGAAAATAAGTTATTCACGTATAACATTAATATGACATTTAGTTGACAATTTAGAAACAAACATAACTAATACATACATAAATTATGAGGAAATCTATATACCATTTTATACAAAATAAAAGATAAAATAACTAATATCTACATAAATTTACTCATAAGTAATTCCTACATTATTAGTATCTGTATAACTTTAACCATTTATTAGACGAATTATTTTGATTTTTTCGAATGAAAGTCACCATGATATGTTTAAACGTGAAATTAACAAGTTTCCGTTATGTGTAACACATAGGAGTATTTAGTTTTCCATCTGGACGGCGTTGAATTGACCTGGTAACGTATTATAGGACGGAAGTCAAAGACTGCAGTGGTCAAACATTTTGATCCAAACCTAAGATGTTGTGCTTGTGCCGGCACATTAATTTATTCCCACTACCGTCCATACTATACTTACGTGTGCTCCTTTCATTTTTTAAAATTAAAAACGAATAATATCATATCATATTGAAAATATATTGTTGATTGTAAAGCATGCAAAGAAAGTCCCAAATTCATAGTTGATCAATGGATTAAGGAGCTACATAAAAGATATAAAAATACTAAAATTATTTGAGCGAAATCGTGTGGGGGGATCATATTAAAAATATTATTGAGTTGATTTAACCGAACAAATTATTTAGATAAAGGATATTTACTATTTGAGAAAAAGGTCAATCATATCATCAGATTTGAAGTTTAAGTAAGGTCAATCAAGTTGAAGTTTAAGCTACATAATAGTATATATCAACAGATTTAAATTCACGCTACATGAGTATCTATCTATTTAATTATGAAAGAAAATATCTATCTAATTTACTTCAATAGCAAAAGACTTTAACCTTAGAATTTTAAAATTACAAAAAAGTTGTCCTCATATTATTTCAAGATTTGTGTATAAGTATTTTAAAGCCCCCACGCTATTTATAATATAAAAAATACAATTGCATGGGAGTTGGTACCGTTGCTGTCATATATAATATAGTATAAAATATATAAAAATAATAATAATATACTATATGATTGAACCGTGACAGAGAGAGGAAACAAATTGATATTATAAACAATTTTAGCAATAGGACAAAGTAAGAGTTTTAAGTCTTCGAGTCTCTTTAATCAGTATTTGGTTAAGAGTATATGTAAACTTTAATTTGGAACATATCTTACAAACAACTTTGAACCGTCTATTATTAAGCCTTTGGAGCCCAGAAACTAGTTACATGCCTCATTAACATAGATACCTAGTTATGATCGGTGTTTTCAAAGACGTTTAGGCATATTTTGAGGCGGAGCATATTAAAAATATTTTGGGGCGCAAATGAAAATGTTGATCTATAAAGCGTATGTCCTAGAATTTGAGACTTAAGTTCTGAATGCAAAAGCATAAGCTAGCCCTATGTATAAAAGTATAATTCCTAAGATTTTCATGTAATTATTTATCAAGAATTGCTTCATCTTGCACCCCGCCTCTTAAAACATTTATGATCAATTGCTATAGAATCCAATCAAAGACTTAACTTTCAGAGGATCGATACAAACTGTACTATAATATAGTGAATTTTTATATATATAATGCAAAAGTATACGCATATCATTAATGTAATTTAACTTATTAGGAAAGTGGAGTTACTATATTACCATATAGTATACTACTAACTATAAGCCAATTAATATTATGAGTCATGACTAGTTCATAAAAAAGAGAGTTAATATCTCAAAAGGTCACTCAATTTAAAGAATTTATCTAACAAAGTCATTAAACTTTGTTTTGTATCAATAAAATCACTCAACTTAGACATTTATATCAATAAAATCACTCACCTAAATTTATTATTAAAATAATTAAATTTGACATGATAAAATAAATTATTTTATTATATCATGTTCATTATTAAAATAATACGTAAATAAACCAGAACTCTTATTATTAAAATAAATTATTTTTATCACATATTCATTATTAAAATAATAAAGAAATGGCTCAACTCTACATATTTTTAATCGCTCTACAACTCTCATTTCTAAGATTAAAAATTAAAACCCCACCACCTCAACTTTGTTTGTTTCCAATTTTTTTTTTAATTATACCTATTATATTACTACTTATACATTTTATATGCTTTTTCTATCTGCATTCTGCACCGATGTCAAACTGCTTTTCTGTTTGCGTTTTCCCATATATGCAAATGAAAAAAATAACTACTGCAAAAATAATTCACATGCATAGTTGTGGTTTTTGGACGTTTCAACTTTCATGTGAGTTTTGACTGAAAACCTCAATGTGTAAATTAGTGAGGTTCGGGATAAATTTCAATTGATCCTCAATGTGAACGTTGGAATCGATGGTTTTTTATTATTTTAATAATGAACGTGGCAAAAAAAATAAATTATTTTGGCATGTTAAATTGATTTAAATAATAAAATTTAGTCAAGTGATTTTATTGATACAAATATCTAAGTTGAATGATTTTATTGATACAAATACCTAAGTTGAGTGATTTTATTGATACAAAACAAAATTTAATGACTTTAGAATATAATATCTCAAAGTTGAATGACATTTTAAGATATTAACTCTAAAAAAGAATTGGTTACGTTAGGAAGCCAACTGCCCATGTAAATAGTACTACTAGCATTATTTTAGGAATTTGATTTGAAGTATTCAACTTTTTTTTGCCCAAAACCTGTACTCACTACGAAAAACTCCAAAACTATAAAAAAAATATACATAAAAATAACAAATTCTACTTGGTGATATATTAGCTTATGAAGCGAAAATTTACGTATCTTTTTTTCTTCCCAAAGAAATCAAGAGAATTATTTTTAGGAATTTCTTGTTCTTTTTCTAGTAAAATCTAGTCACCCGATCTATATTAATCTTTGTTGGTGGGATTTTGGATCGTTTGACATGAATTACTTCTCGTATGTTTAAAATCCTTTTTGTAATAGTTGATTTTTTTCTTTTTATATATGATGGGTATGAATATATAAATTATAGTTTATAATAACAAAGAACATTGTCATCTAAAAACTAAAAAGCTGATTCGGGCTCGATTTGAATTCAATTATATTTTAAAAAAGTTCGATTGAGCTCGATTCAACTCGTTATTGCAACAAATTCAACTAAGCTAGCTCGACTCAAAATCAATTTTACAATCACTTTACATAAGAAATAGAGATCATCCGTAATATTGCAAACTACACGAGTCCATGTGTCATTAACATAAACATGTGGGGAGGTTTTTGTACATTTAAAAACTTGAAATTTAAAAGAAAAAAAAGGGAAGGAGCTCAAATGGGGGTTTAGGGTTTAGTACTGTAATCCAGAACAAAAATATGAATCTTCAATCTGCTTGTTCATTGCTTCAGCATGACGCTTCAATCCCCAATTTTTCTCAATTCCAGTTTCGCAATGTAATTATTTTCTTCTCATTTCTCTGTGTATTTGATCTTTTTTTTGTTTTAGCATTTTCGGTATCTGTATATATATACACTCGTAA